TATTTTTTTTTTTTTTTTTTTTTTTTTTTTTTTTATGAAAAATATGTAATTATTCAGATAATTTTTGGTTTTCTTTTAAATATTGAGAGATAATTTCTTTTACCTTCTCTAAAATTTCATTCACTTTTTTACTTGTTTCTGCTTCAGCAAATATGCGAATCAAGTTTTCCGTTCCTGAAGGTCTAATAAAACATCTAGCATTTTTTGAGTCTACTTCATTAACTATTTCATCGATTTTTCGTTGTAAACATTTTGGTTCAATTAGATAATGTTCATGTTGCGGATGAGGTTTCAATTTTTGCAGAATATATTTTGGACACATTATATTTATATATAAAGAAGGATAAGGCTTATAAAAGTTATCCCATTGTTTTATATTTAAATTTAAATAGGATAAAGTCAATTCAATTGCTATAAAATCAACTATAGCATCACCTGCAGTTTGATTAAAAAAAAGCAGATATTTTTTTAAAGCTATAAATGATGTATCCTTATTAATACATAATTTTGTTGACCATTCATTCAACTGATTTATATCTGCGTATATAGTACCATGTCCATTGGGCTCAAAAAATATTCCTATTGAAGATTTTCGTGCTACATTATCAAGATATTTAATTCCAGTTTTTGTACATATAATATTTATATTGATATATTGAAATATATCTATTTCTTCACTTACTTTCTTTTTCATATTATTGAGATAATTTATAAAAGAAGTATTTACATAAGCAGTCTGTATTATATTAATATCTATTTTTTCTATATTCTTCTCTGAAATTAATTCTTCCTTATTTATCTTAATATGTGATAACATCTTGATTATGCAATTTAAAAATAAACAAATTATTTTGGGACCATCTAAAATAACAATATTATTATCTTTATTTTTATTTTCGTTAAAAGAATTATTAATTAAAGTATTTTTTACATTAGGATTATTTGTAAAATTATTGTAATCATTTTTATCATTATCTAAAAAGAAATAAAGAATCCTATCTGCATCTCCATCAAAAGTGCAAAATTTACAATTTATTTCTTCCAATGGAGAATTAATAGGTACTTTTTTTTTGCTGTATACATATTCAGAACCACAATTAAAATTTAAAATACTATCTTCATCGTTTATATAATTTATTTTTATTATTTTTTTATTTAAAATATTGAATATATTCTTAAAATTATCAATTTTCAGACTTGCTACACCATTTGAACAATCAACATATATTTTTTCCTCTTTGCAGTTGTTCGTTAAGACTTCATTATACGTTTTGTTTAAGTAATCATAAAGATCTTCAAATAGATATATAAAATAATCAAAATAAAACTTATCACTGTTATATGCATATAAATGAACATCATTATCTTGATACAAATTATTATTTAAAATTTCTTTGTTTATATTTACTGCATGCAATTTATTTAAGTCTCCACTGAGTGTATTATCACTATATTTAAAATAATATAAATTTTTGATTAAATTGTTATTTTTTAATTTAAATTTTTTTAGGTATTCCAAATCATTTTTCTTTTTATGAATTGAATAGTTGTTACTCGTAAGAATATTAGTATTAATCTTGTTATCATCAAAAATATTATTCAGAAAATTAATAATAAAATGCATACATGGAGTTGTTATATAGCACATATTATTAATGCATTTATATATATTTAAACAATTTAAAGATTCTATAATAATATTATTTAAGGGTAATCCACTACTTCTAGTGTCGAAACCTATACATATATTTGCCTTTAATGTGTTATGTATATTGCATTTATAAATTATATCATCTAATTTTTTTATATTATTAAATACGTAATTATCAAATATATTAAGACCTGTTTCCTTTTCAAAAATATGTGCAATGCAATCAATTATATTATCCACTATATCATCAATTGTGCATTTTTTATTTTTCTCTAAATATCTTAAATGTCTATTTACAAGATCCATTAAATAATACTCATATTCTTCATTTATTTGTCTTCCTTTATAGTCTAATATTTTTACTCCATTTTCATTATGAGGATTATGAGATGCTGTTATAATAATTCCTACATTGTTCCACTTAATATTTTCTGCACTCTGTAAATTAAAATATTCTTTCTTTTCATCTAATGAATTAAAATCCAATAACTTATACTTTTTACTTATTTCATAATTATATTTAATAAATAACAATCCTATAAATATTCCACTTTTATTTAAAGCATTTAATAAATCACAAGATTTTGTTTCATATTTATCTCTAAATCCGCTATTACCATAAGTAAATTCAAAAGTAGATTCGAATTTTATATTTTCTTCAATAGTGTAATTTGGTAAATATTTTTCAATACATGGTTTTATTTTGACATAAAATAAGCTTTCTTTTATGTTTCTCATATTTCATAATTTTTTTTTTTTTTATAAAAAAATATAATAATGTATATTCATATATATGTTTTTTTTTTTATTTCTACAATGTTATCTAGATAAAAAAAAAAAATATACTATATAGCATTATAAAATAAATAATAATTTACGATTTATGTTTTTAAATAATTTAAGGTGAGTTAAAACATTATATTTTATTTTATTTTATTTTTTTTTTTTATCTATTTTTCAAAAAAAAAAAAAAAAAAATGTACCATATTGTACGTTACAGAAACAATCTTTTCGGTAGTTTAAAAAAAAACAAAAATGCACTATATGAACATATATATAAATAAAAAAAAAAGAAAGGAAATATATAAATATAAAAACAAAATATTATTAGATAAAGATTAAAAAAACATAAACAGAAAAATGATGTAAAGCATAGAATAAATTCTTAAAGAAAAAATAATAGAAATGCTTTAAAAGAGGATTGGAATAAGTTGCATTACTGAAATTATTATAAATACATTAGCAAATTCCTTTTTATTTATTTTAATATATTATAAAATTAATTTAATTATTAAAAAATTGTAACTGCATTAATTGAAGTTTAACTATATCCTTTTAAATAGTATCTTTATAATATTAGTGAACTTTTGAAAATTCAGAATAAAAAAATTACAAATTTTATATTTTTTATTATTTATATAAAATTTTTTTTTTTTTTTTTGAGTTTCATTTAAATACGTAAATATAAAGAATTTTTCATAAAATTAAGAAAAACGGTTATTGAATAAAGTTGTAATTTTTAATAATTTTTTAGTAAATTTTATTTAATTACTTTTAAAAATTTTGTAAAAAATATACATATTATTATCCATATTTATTTTGCTTTATGTCCACTTTTACATTCACAGATAAAAAACCTTTTACTCACGTGTACAAACTTAAAAGGAAAACTCATATTTTTTTTTTTTTTTTCTTTGCAAAAATACCATATTAATAAAAATTTAAAACGAACTGAAAAATGAATTCATTTCAATATTTTTTTATCTTCCTTAATTTTTAAAAAAAATTACAAAATGAATAATGTCTTTTGATAAAAATAAAAAAATCATATTTTTATTTTTAACATTATTAAATAAATATATATATAGTTATTAAGAAGTTTTTAAATTATAAAAATAATGGCTTTACTATTTTTTAATTTGTGGAATACTAATTATTCTTTAACTCCTTAAACCGTGAAATATATTTCAAAAATGTTATTTCTTGATTTAAAATAAAAAGAAAAAAATCACTTAAAAATATATAAAACAAATTTTTTTATATGCATAAAATTTTTAAATTTTAATAAAAAAAAAAAAAAAAAAAAAAAAATAGTAGATATAATAAGTAGTTATAAATAAATGAATATAAATGTAAAATTAAGTTCTTTATAGTTTATTGTATTATGATTTTTAAATTAAAAAAAAATTTTCTACTGCAACTACACATTTATTTTTCTTCACATCAACACAATATTTCTATTTCTTTCTTATAATAGTTTTTTTATATTTTCTTCTTTTCCTTTTTTATTATTATTTTGCAATAACACTTATTTTTTTGAAGTTTTTGTAGTTTTTTTTTGTGGATAATATATTCTTTTAAGACTAGGTAATAAAGAGTTTTCAATCCTTTCTGCTTTTTTACGATCGGCAAATACCATTGTGTATAAATATTTTTTTGTTCTTAATTTTAATTTCGTTATTATTGTATTTTTCTTTACTTTGCTTTTTTTCTTCACAATTATTACAGCTGTGGTATCAGGCTTTCTACTAATTTTCAAAAATTTTCGAATATCATTAATTTGTTTTGGCATTTTTTCCTACTTTTTTTAAATAATAAATATTAAGTTTTTATAATTTTTCTTTTAAATAAAACTATATTTTTTATAATAAAAGTGTTAAATTAAAAAGTTTTAACTTTTTTAAATTATGAATAAAAAAAAAATAAAAAAAATAAAAAAATTAAAAAAAAATTTTATAAAACAAAAATAAAATATATGAATTCATATATTTATGCATGTTAATATTTATAAATATATATTGAATATGTATCCTTAAAGTATTTCAATTTTATTAAATATATTTTAGTTTATATTATAGAAATAAAAAAAAAGAAAAATATTTAAACGTTGTAATTATCATAGGAATAAAATACTATATCTTACTCTTTTCTTTTTTTTAAATTAAATTAATACTTATTTTAGGTGCTTAAAAAAGTTATAGAAAGGGAAAAGTTAAAAAGTTCACATTAGTTATAACCAAGTTTGGTATTATTAAATTAATAAATGTCCCCTTTTTTCACTACAAGAAAAAAAAAAAAAAAAAAAAAAAAAAAAAAAAATCGAAAGCTCTTAACGTAAAACAAAAAAAAAAAATTAAAAAAAAAATGTAATATAAATAAAATAAAAATATATATTTATTTTATTTTATTTTATTTTATTTTATTTTATTTATTTTTTAATTTGGTATTTTTCTTTTAGTATTTTGGAAAATAAGTATATATATTTTTTTTTTTTTTTGAGAACTTCTTATTTATGGTAATTAAAAAAAAGATAAATGTTGTTTTCATGTTAATTGTTTTATTTAAAGAACACTATATATTTTTGTATAGATAACTTTATGATATTTATTCGTAATTTATATTTATTTTCACTCTTTATATTTTTATTTCTTGATACATTTTTTTTTTTTTTTAATTGAATTTATTATATAAAGGAAATTATGTTACTTGTATTACGTTTATATGAAGTTTTATAAAAAAACTTACACCATGCTAAATATATGTTTTGATTTATATTTTTTATTTTTTTTTTTTTGTTATGTTTTTTACATGATCAAGCAATAATTTAATAAATATAATATATACTATATACATAAAATTTGTATATTTTGCCTGTATTTTAAGATTATTTAATTGAATATCTTGCTTATATTTTTTTTAATATGTTGTAATGATATGTAACATGAATATAAATATTATTTTTTAAATGTTATTAATATGGTCAAGTTATTATGTTTTAATTATTTGTATAGAGTGTTTTAATGTTATAATGTGAGACATTATTTATGTTTTATATAAATTTAAATTTATATGTTTCTTTAAATCTATAGTATTGTTTATTTATTCTTTTATTTTGCATAACTTTATATTAGTACATTTTTATATATATATTATATTATGCTTGTTGTACGTATTTCTTTTTTCTTTTTTTTATTTTTTTATTCTTTTTATATATTTTTGCATATTTATTTTTTTTTCGTAGGTTAAAGTGATTGTCAGACATTAAATGTACTGCCAGTCTCCATAAAGTTAGTGATTTTCTTTTTTTAAATTTTTAAAACATATCAGAATTTTTTTTTTTTTAAACTAAAATTTTTTATTAATAAAAAGTAGAACAAAATGGCGAAATTATCGAAGGCTCAAAAAAAACAAATGTATATTGACAAACTTAGCACGCTGATCCAACAATATACAAAAATATTAATTGTTCATGTAGATAATGTAGGATCAGATCAAATGGCAACTGTTCGTCAAAGTTTAAGAGGAAAAGCTGTAATTTTAATGGGAAAAAATACAAGAATAAGGACAGCATTAAAAAAGAATTTACAAGCAGTACCACAAATAGAAAAATTGTTGCCATTGGTAAAATTAAATATGGGTTTTGTCTTTTGTAATGATGATTTATCAGAAGTGAGAAAAATTATTTTAGAAAACAGATCACCTGCACCTGCAAGGTTAGGTGTTATAGCTCCAATTGATGTATTTATTCCACCAGGTCCAACAGGAATGGATCCTTCTCATACATCATTTTTTCAATCTCTTGGTATATCTACAAAAATTGTAAAGGGTCAAATAGAAATACAAGAAAAAGTGCATTTGATTAAACAAGGAGAGAAGGTAACAGCCTCGTCAGCTACTCTTTTACAAAAGTTCAACATGAAACCTTTTTCTTATGGTGTTGAAGTAAAAACTGTTTATGATGACGGAGTAATTTATGATGCTAATGTTTTAGATATTACTGAAGAAGATATTTTAAAAAAGTTTTCAAAAGGTGTTTCTAATGTAGCTGCATTGTCAAGAGCTGTTGGCATTATAACAGAAGCTTCTTATCCACATGTTTTTGTAGAAGCATTTAAAAACATTGTTTCTTTAGTAATTGACTCTGATTATACATTCCCATTAATGCAAAATATTAAAAATATGGTTGAAAATCCACAGGCATATGTTGCTGCTGCACCTGCTGCTTCCGCCACTAAAACAGAAGAACCCAAAAAAGAAGAAGCTAAAAAACAAGAAGAAGAAGAAGAAGATGATGAAGATGGTTTTGTTGGATTTGGAATGTTTGATTAATATTATTTAAAAGAAAGACAAACATTTTAGAACATAATATATATTATTAATAATAATATAAAAAAATGAAACAAAATTATACTAAAATGTACCATTTTTGACAAATAATTATGTTGTTCTTTTTAAAAGGTGATAAAAAATTATTTGTATTATATATATATATATATATATTCATTTATTTTCATTTAGTAGATAATTTATAATTATAATATATTTTAAGAATAACTTTACATATTTAATTTATATATGCTTCAAATATATTTGAAATATATGAATTCTAACTAATATACTGAGGGTGATAGTACAAAATTTTGAAATATTTTATATTTGATAATTTTTGAAGAAGGCTTTATGAATATTTCCCGTATATTAGATGTAGATACTTTATGAAAAACAAAATAATATTATAATTAAAAATAAATATATATATATACAAATTATTATTTATATATTTATGTTTCGTTGAATGATGATAAAAAATTCTCAAAATGTTCGCAGTTGAGAGTTTTAAAAAAAAACTCTATGAATTATTTTCGTAGCCTTCACTTAGATGTCTGACGCAAAACATAAATATTTTTTTAGAAAAGAATTATAATTCAAAATAAGAATTTAAGTTGTATAAATTACATATTTTTATATATTTGTATTTTTATACACCTATATGTTTTGATAAATGATGATAAAAAAATTCTCAAAATGTTCGCAGTTGAGAGCTTAAAAACTCCATGAAGAATATTTGTAGCCTTCACTTAGATGTCTGATACAAAGCATATTAATATTTTTCTAAAACCAAATAATAAAAAAAAATTAATATACATATGTATATATATATATATATATATATATATATATATATATATATATATATATATATATATATATATATATATATATATAAACGTATGTTTAAATTTATATATATTTTTTGTGAGTGATGATAAAAGAATTCTCAAAATGTTCGCAGTTGAGAGATTAAAAACTCCATGAAGAATTTTTGTAGCCTTCACTTAGATGTCTGACACAAAGGATAATTAAAATTTAAAAAAAAAAATAATATAAAAAATATTATTATATATATATATATATATATATATATATATATATATATATATATATATATATATATACATGTGTAGATATATATAAATTTTTTGTGAGTGATGATAAAAAATTCTCAAAATGTTCGCAGTTGAGAGTTTTAAAAGAAAACTCTATGAATTATTTTCGTAGCCTTCACTTAGATGTCTGACACAAAGAATAATTAAAATTTAAAAAAAAAAAATATATAAAAAATATTATTATATACATATATATATATACATGTATAGATATATATATATTTTTTGTGGGTGATGATAAAAAATTCTCAAAATGTTCGCAGTTGAGAGTTTTAAAAAAAAACTCCATGAATTATTTTTGTAGCCTTCACTTAGATGTCTGACACAAGGAATATTTAAAATTTTAAAAAAAAATAATACAAAAATTATTATCATATACCTATATATATATATATATATATATACATGTGTAGATTTATATATATTTTTTGTGGGTGATGATAAAAAATTCTCAATGTTCGCAGTTGAGAGTTTTAAAAGAAAACTCTATGAATTATTTTAGTAGCCTTCACTTAGATGTCTGACGCAAAAAATAATTATCTTCAAAATGTTATAAACAATATTATCATATAAATATGTGTCTATATGCATAAATTTATATGTAAATTTTATGAGTGATGAGAAATTCTAAAAATGTTTGCATTAGAAAACTATAAAAAAAAAACTCATTGATGAAATATTTCAGCAACTTCATGAATTCCTGGTATAAAATACTAAAGTATTTATTATCAATGAGATTTAAAAGAAAACAAGATGATTTAAACAGAAAGAAATTGAAATATTTATATTTAAAAGATTTTTATAAGATTTAAAAAGAAAAATAAAAAATAAAAAATAAAAAAGGATGTTATACTATTAAGATTTGTGAACTATAATCTATAAAATTTTTTAATATATATTAAAATACCTTACTAGAGTTTTTATTTTAGTGTTTTACAATATATATATACAATACATATGCTATTAGAATAATTTAATACATATATAGGAAATAAGGAAAATTTAAATTAAAAATTATATTTATATAAATTATATATAAAACATGTTAATGTATTAATTATATAAATTTTATATAAATATAAATTTTTTTTCATATAAAAATATTATTCTATAGTTTGTTATTTTTTTTTTTTTTTTGAAAAATAAAGAAAGAAGGAAAATTAAGAATATTCATATGTATAAATGTTCATTTTGCATAAATTTTCGTTTTTCATATATACATTATTTTGTACAAAACATAAAATGCTTATTATATTTAATAATATGAGAAAATCTCTAAGGTCTTGTAATTATTTTATTTTATTGTGTTTTATATTGATTTATTTTATAATATAAATATATGTGTTTCTATTATACTTTTTAAATTTTGTAGGTTCATAAAGTACAAATTAGTGTCATGTAGTTTTTATTATAGATAGGTATTATTTATAACGAGAAAGAAGATATACCTTATTTTATATTTTTTTCACAATAATACCCTTTCATTAGTATATAAGAAAATTAAATTATATGTAATTATTAATATAATTGTTGCATATATTATCCTTTTTAATTAAAAAACTATAAATCTTATATTAACTTTTTAAAAACATTAAAAAAATTAAAAAGAAAAAAAATTTTATATTTTAAAATTTTAACCTTCTAATTTTCTTTGTCTTTTTTTTTTTATTTAATTAAATTTACCATTTAAAAAAAGCAAAAAAAAAAAAATAATTGAACAAACGTAATATTTACATATAATATTTAGAAATAATGTATAAAATTTTATAAAGAAAAAAGGTTACAAATAATAAAAATATCATAAACTCATAGAAATTTTTATCAAAATATATAAAACATGAGAAAAAATGATAAGGTCTGTTCTAAATAATTACATTATATTAATTTGCTTTGATATAAAAATTTGGTTGAAAAATAAATACTATCTTTTATTATAATTAAAAATGAATAATAATAATTTTAACAAATTTTAAATTAAAAAAATAAATTATACTTATTTATATATTATACTTTAAATATTTATGATTATTTTTCTGAAATTTTGTGCATAAATAAATAGATAATAAGTATTTTATTTATAATAAATTTTGCTTAAACTTTTTATTTTTTTAATGTGTTTGTTTTTAATAGGAGAAATAAAAAATAACTTTAATATATATATATATATATATACCTATTTAAATAAATAAAAAATAATTTAATTGATTTTTATAGCTTTTAAAATAAAATTATTTTATTTATCATATTTTTTATTATTTTATTTTATTTTTTTTTTTATTATATTTTTTTTTTTTTTTTTTTTTGTATATTTGTACATTTTTTGAATAAAATTTTTTTATTAAAATACAAAAAAATTTTTATAAAAAACTGAAGAATAAAAATAAATTGGGAACTTATTTATTTATCTTATTTTTATCGTTTTACACTTAATTTTGGATTAAGGTTATCTAAATAAATAAATTTAGGAAATATATGAAGCTTCAAATATAAATTTATAAATTATGTTCGTGTGTTTTTAAAATATATATATTTATATATATATTTTTTCTACTTCAATTTTTCATTTATTTGTTATAAATTATAAAATAGAAAATGAATGTTGAAAATATATTTGGAAATGAAGAGGTAAATGTAGATGAAATAGAAAAATTATCAAATAATGAAATAAAAACAAGAATTAGTTTAATTGATACAGAAGTAAAGATATTGAAGAATGAACATGCAAGATTAAAAAATGAATATAAGAATTTGCAAGAAAAAATTAAAGATAATCTTGAAAAAATACATTTAAATAAAATGCTACCATATTTAGTAGCAAATGTAGTAGAATCGTTAGATTTAGAAGATGAAGAAGAAGAAAATGAACCAAAAGATGAATATGATTTATATGATAATAATATGAAATTAAGTCATGAAGGATTTCGTGATATAGATGATGAAAAAAGAGGAAAATGTATGGTCATTAAAACATCAACAAGGCAAACTATATTTTTACCAGTACCTGGTTTAATAGAAGCATCAGAATTAAGGCCAGGAGATTTAGTAGGTGTAAATAAAGATAGCTATTTGATAATTGATAAATTACCTCAAGAATATGATAACCGTGTAAAAGCAATGGAAGTAATTGAAAAGCCATCAGAAGATTATTCTGATATTGGTGGATTAGATAAACAAATAGAGGATTTGGTTGAAGCAATAGTATTACCTATGTTACACAAAGAAAAGTTTGAAAAAATTGGAATTAAACCTCCAAAGGGTGTATTAATGCATGGACCTCCAGGTACAGGAAAAACATTACTAGCTAGAGCTTGTGCATCTCAAACAAATGCAACCTTTTTAAAACTAGCTGGTCCACAGCTAGTTCAGATGTTTATAGGAGATGGAGCAAAAATGGTTAGAGATGCTTTTAATTTAGCAAAAGAAAAGGCACCAGCAATTATTTTTATTGATGAATTAGATGCTATTGGAACTAAAAGATTTGATAGTGAATTATCAGGTGATAGAGAAGTTCAAAGAACTATGTTAGAGTTATTAAATCAACTGGATGGTTTTAGTACTGATGATACAGTTAAAGTTATTGCTGCTACAAACAGACCAGACACATTAGATCCAGCTTTATTAAGATCCGGAAGACTAGATAGGAAAATTGAGTTACCTCATCCAAATGAAGAATCCAGAGCTAGAATTTTACAAATACATTCACGAAAAATGAATGTTCATAAAGATGTTAATTTTGAAGAATTAGCTAGATCTACTGATGATTTTAATGGAGCACAATTAAAAGCTGTATGTGTTGAAGCAGGAATGATTGCATTGAGAAGAGGGGCTACTGAAATCGATCATGAAGATTTTGTTGAAGGAATTACATCAGTTTTATCAAAAAAAAAAAGTACTCTGAATTATTTTACTTAACTTTGTATATATATAAGAAAATATTTTTGTTCTATCGTGAAAATACTGATACATTTGTTTTTTTATATATATATATTCATATGCATGAAAATGTTCATATATATTTGCTCTTATGTTAAAATACAAAAAAAAAAAAAATAAAATAAAATAATAAATAAGATGTATATTCTGTAATATATATATTCCCATATACAAATATTTTATAAGGAAACAATCATTAAAATAATTCGATATATAAGTATACATAAAGAAAAAAATATTAATAATCTAAATTATAATTTTCGTATGTTTAGCCTTTTTTTTAATATTTATTTTTTTTTAAAATAATTTCCATCTGCAATTTTTTTTTTATATAAATCTTTGTTATGATTTAATTTATGTATATTTTATAATATAAAAAATTTAATTCCTTTTTTTTTTTTTTTTTTTATCAATACTATATATATATATATATATGTATATAATATAAATTTTCTTTTTAGTTAATCTTTATTTTCTGAAAAACTTGAAGGTCTCTTATTCATAAATGTTTTCTTCAATATTATTTTGTATTTATTTTGCTTTTTTTTTTTTTTTTTTTTCTTTTTCTCTTATAATTTTTCCAAATTTAAATTTAAAAAAAAATTTTAATTCTTTAAGATGTCTCTATATTTAATGATGTGTATTAGTTAACAAGAAAAATCATTTGAATTATTGAAAAACTGGCATATTTCATTTAAATAAACAAAAATTAATTGTATGACATTTAATTATGTGTTTTTCTTAGTATTAATTGAAATAAAAAAAATGTTTAATTTTTTTTTTTTTTTTTTTTTTTTTTTTTTTNNTTTTCTGAAAAACTTGAAGGTCTCTTTTTCATAAATGTTTTCTTCAATATTATTTTGTATTTATTTTGCTTTTTTTTTTTTTTTTTTTTTTTTTTTTTACTTAAGCAAATTGGAAGTAATCTTTTTTATTTAAAAATTTTGTGTAATTCAAAAAAAAAAAAAGAAAAATAAAATAAAATAAAATAAAATAAAATAAAATAAAATAAAAAAAAATAAATAATAAAATAAAATAATATAAAATAAAATAGAATAAAGTAACATAATAGTATTTATGCAAATTTGAATATGTATTAAGAAGGTAGAATGATTATTGTGTAAATAAGATATAAAATCTTATAAATACATTTTTAAATAGAGAACTACAGGAATGAGTAAAAAAATAAAAAATCAATCCTATTAATAAATAAATGAGTAAGTTGTCAAGAAGGTATATAAATGAATAAGAATTATATAATAAATAAAAAAAAATAAACGATTATATAGTAAAATAAAATGAAGGATAATATTTTCTTAAATAAAGAGGAATTACTAAAAGGAGAAAACATAATGCATATTATGAAAGACCCTATGTTATTTTTAGTTGAAGCAAATAAATATAAAACAACAACTGAAATAAAAAATGATCTTGAGTTAATGAAAAATATAATTCATAATGATATTATAAAAATTTTAAATAAAAATTCTCAGGAATTTATGTCATTACCATCTAATTTAAATATTATAGAAAATGCAATACCAATTTTAGAAAGAGAAATAAAAGTTTCTAAAACTTTTGTTAAAAAATTATTAAGTGAAATAAATACTATTAATGATAATACTCATGAAATATTAATAAATAAAATTAATACATATATCATTAAAAATATCTTAAAAAATAATATTGAAATAGAGCAATTACTAAATAAAATACAAAAGGAAATTACAAAATATGAAAAGTCTGAAAATTATATATTTTTAGTAGATATACGAAATAAATTAAGTTCAAATAATGATGACATAAATAAAAACATTATGGAAGATTTATGTAAAAATAATTCATACCTTCTTTACCATTTAAGTCAAAGAATAATAAATATATCTAAAGGAGTATGGAAAATAAAGGCTATGTTATATAATAATTATAAAAGAATGTGTAAAATATCTAATAGTTTAGGAGATTTTAACAATCTTATTATAAAATATGGTACTTCAGCTACATGTGATAATGAAATTATAGATATAATTAAAAATTATTCTTACGAAAGATTTAATAATAATATTAAATGCATAATTAATCAGTTAACAAAATGTATAAATCAGCTGTCTTATATTTTTTTAAAAATGATGAAAAATGATTTTTTAAAAAATATATGTGAAAATTTTATTTTGAATCAGTTAACTAATTATATTTTAAATTCGTGTTATATACTTAACTACTTTGATACATTTATTATTCAATTTCAAGAGATATATATTAATTATATTGTAAGAATATCAAATATATTTTAAAAAAAAAAAAAAAGATGTAAATATTAACAATAATATTCAAATAAGAATTATAACTATATTTATAATAAATTTATAATTTGAATTTTTTTTTTTTTTTTTTATTTTCTATGTAATACTTAAATATATATATGTATATTTTTTTTTTTTTTTTTTTTTTTTTTTTTTATAGGAATACATAGATTTTGAAACGTATGATTCACTTTTATTATATATAAAAAAAAATATTTTAGAAAATGAAAACGTTATTATGATATGTAAAAGAATAGATGAAATAGATGAAAATATTTTATTTTTTACAAAAGGAATAGTTGAAAAAATTTTAGATATTATAAAAATTAAATTCCCCAATATATTTTTGTTAAAATATTGTGATATTTTTATTGAAAATTATATAAAAACATTCAATTTTTTAGACGAAATTAAAAAGGACAGAAGAACATATGAGCAATATGTCCTCAATGACAAAATCAAGGAGTTTCTAAAAAATTTTGAAACAGAAGCATATGTTCAATATATTTTAAATATATTAGAAAATAAAATAAATGAAAACAATAAAAATATTATTTTTTTTGATAAAAAATATATTTTTGATAATAACTTTTATTGGTTAAAAGAAACAATAAATTTAATAAAAATTTTTAAAATTTTGTTTACTAGTAAATTTTATATTTCCGATTGTTTATCTAATTATCTATCTTTTATATTTAAACATTTTAAAAATTATATTTGTAATATTGAAACATTTTTATTATTTTTAGAAGAAAATAATAACATTAAGATTGGTCATATTGATAAAAAAAAATTCAATTGGAGCCCAACATTAAGTTATAATAGTATAGGTTTTTTTTTGTCTGATTTTTTATCTTTAAGAAAAATTTTTAAAACAAAATATAAAATAAAAAATTTTATTAAAAACAATGAATTTATTATACCAAAAAATATAGGGGATATACCTAGATGGATATATAAAAAACTTTTTTCTAATAATTATAATTTTTATTATAATGACGATAATAACTCTCGTTTAACTAATTTAATTTCCTCATCTGATAGTGAAGAAAATATAAATGAATTCTTTAATAAAGAAACTAATTTTTCTAATATAAACAATTATATGAATAATTACTTTAACATAGATTCGGATAAAAAAAAGCATAAAAAGAATAATGAAGACAATTTATTGATGAAAAACGAGGAAATTGAAAATATAGAATCAAATTATGAAATTAAAAACGATAATAAGTCATTTGACGAAAATAAAGAAAAAAAAAATGATATAATTTACATCACAAATTGTGAAGATGAAGATAAACAAAGGAAAAATGAAGATATTAACTTGAATAATAATAATAATAATATGAAAAACCTTAAAAATATAATGGTTCAAGAAGTTAAAACAAATGATGAATTAAAATGCGAAGAAAAGAAACTAATTTTTAAAATAGGAAAAGATAATAAAAATTCTTTAAAAGAGAAAAAAAAAGAAATGAAATTAAATTTACATATATACCAAAATAAAAACACCAAAAAAATAATTCACAATATAAAATGTATAAATGGATTTTTAAAAACATTATCTAAAATTGTAATAAACACACAAAAATCTTTTGAAGATCTTTTTATTAATAAGATGTTTGAAATTTGTTCAAGTTTTTTAGTATATTTGCATTCCTTGCTAGCTATGTATAAAATGACTAATAAACCAGTATAATAACAAATACAAAAAATATGGAATATTTTAGAATAATCAATTATAAAATTATTTTAGATTTTTTTATGAAAAACATAATTATAATTTAACCATAATTTTTTTTTTTTTTTTTTTTTTTTTTTTTTA